CTGAAATTTGCATATGAGATTGCATCAGCTGTTTTGTGTCTACATGAAAACAATATTATCCATCGAGATTTGGTAATAAATAATAAACTTATTATTTTTTAAAAAAAATTATATTTAATAATGTTTATCTTTTTTTGAAAAGCATTCAAACAACATCTTGGTTCATCAAAAAACCATAAAATTGGCAGATTTTGGACTTTCCCGTAAAATACATGAATCTACAACTACTTCAGCATTCCAATTAACAGGAGTGCTGCCCTATATTGATCCACAATGTTTCAAGTCTAATAGCAAGCCAGATAAAAAATCAGATGTATACAGTGTGGGTGTTTTATTATGGGAATTGACTAGTAACAAACCACCTTTTAGTAATCTGGATCCACATTATCAAAGATATGGTTTAGCACTTGATATTTCTCAAGGAATTCGTGAGAAACCTATTCCTAATACACCTGATGAATATGTTAATTTATACAAAGGTAAAAAATCTATATATATATTTAAAAACTATATATTTATATGCATTAAATTTTTATTAATCATTTACTTATATCTAGCATGTTGGCAGGATGACCCAAAAAGCAGGCCTGATATTCAATATGTTGAAACAATGCTTAATGGAATGATTTCAGGTTCAAACATAGTTGATAAAATTGATAATGAGGAAAATGATGAGCAACCAAAAAATGAAAACAGTGATTCTTTCAGTCATTCCAGTACTATTGATTTCTTGCAAGAAGATTTTGATAATAAAGTCAAAGAACTTTCAGAACTCTGAAAACTATACATTAAAATATTATTTATACATTAATATCAACAATGTAATTGTAAATATATATGTATCATGATATTATGTGTATTATTTAATATTATATTCATACTTTCATTTCTTATTGTATTTATTTATATAACCAGTGTTGTCAACATGGACATGGACATGGACTGTCCCATCCTGGAGAAAACTATAAATTTGCCTCACACTTTTAGACCAAGTGAATAAATTTTTTTAATTAATCAATCAACTGGGAATAACAGATGTGCCATAATTTTATTTGGGGTAATAAAAAATATAATAAAATAATTTTGCTCATTAAGAAATTCATCAGGAATATTTTCAGTCAGTAGAAATTCCAGTCAGTAGAGATTCTGTGCAACTTTCAATTCTGTACACTATTATTTTTTTTTGCTCTGTACACCTAGGATATTGCAAAAATAGAAAAATTTGGTGAAATAGCCCATATTTAGAAAGATGACAACATTTAAAGTTTAGCAACATTTTTGGATGACCTGTATTATATTTTACTTATTATATTCATTTAAAAGCATAGATATCATTAAAATAAAAGATAACATCAATATTGGTAAAATAATCTTGTAAAGATTTTTTATTTTTATTTTTTAATTTTGTATGGAGTGGAATTTGTGAATTCTGAAAAGTTGATTGGTGGAGGCCAGTCTGTACGATCTTTGATTCCATATTTTTGTTCCATACAGAGCATTATTTACTACAGAGGCTAGTGTTCCATGTCGCAATCCAAAAAAGGAAACAAAATGGTCGTAAAGGTGGTTGCAACCAGTGGTTGCAATCATT